AGGATGCGGCCGTCGCTGTAGCTTTATGACGTTTTAAAAGCGTCGCAGTATTATTATAGACAGCGTTTTTTAAAACGTCGCTAAATATAATACATAACGGTACAATGACGTCGCACCACAATTAGCGACATTTTAAAAGCGTTGTGATAGATCTTTTCTATTTTAAAAATATAATCGTTGACATTATTCTATAGTGGCGCTTAAAAACGCCGTTATAGCTTCAATTTTTTTTTTTTTTTTGAAATTGTGTTAATTCTGTGAGATTTAACTAAAAATTTACTTGTAATAAAAATAAAAAATATTCAATATATTGACTATATTTAAGTAAACATAATACTAGATCAATTCATGCTTCTCAATATACAAAAATATTTCAATTCCAAGATGAAATAAAGTTAAACTAGTGCCTAGTGATAAGTTGAAAGTTATTACAAAACAGACCGGCACAAAAGATGCAATTCAAACTAATTATGCATACAAGTAACATAATATGAAGCTGGACCCAGAGTCTCGTTATACCTCTCTTAAATAATCTGATTGTTGATGTAATCTGTGGACCACCGCACTTAATTGAAAAGTTATAATCTGTCAATCAATAGGAAAGAAAAAAATTATCAGATTGAATTCAATTAGGTCATTCAATTAACAAAAAGTAAATATCAGCCATATCTCGTTGTTCATATATGTTTTATGGGTTCAATGCACTTTATGGATGGGAATTCTCTCAACAATAGAAAGACACATTTGAGTCCATTCTGTCCACTCCACCAAATTATATAATCTGTGTTTCAAAATTGCATATTAAAAATTTATGAGTAAAATTCATACACTGATCTCAAATAGATGTGATCCCATTTATCCTCGCATTATGGATGTACATATTCTACTCTCAGAATCATAGTTTAGGAAATTTCTAAACCGCACTTACAGACAGAAGAATTGCGGTTGTAGGGAAAATTCCTTTGAAGACACCTCAATCCTGAAAGAAGAACACTGAAAGCAGAGGAAGAATGCATATCATTGTAATAGTTTCCTTGAGCTATCGAACAATCACAAAAATCTTTAGTGTTTCTTTAGTTATCAGGCAATCATATCAAAATCCAATACACAAGACCATTATAAAGAATGCAGAAGAGAAATAATGTATACTGAAACACAAAAACATAATTATATACAGTAAATCCCATTCAACTGGATATCTAGACTACAGATAAGATCAATGAAATATTCCATATCTTCAAAACTAGAAAGGTGCCATCATCATTATTTCACATATATTTATGAGCACATATCAGCATCATAAAAAGTTCAAAAAACTATTGCATTCAGCAGCACTGTCATGTATGTTTGACTGCTCAAGCAGGTGCTGGTAACCAACTCATGTTGTTCAATGCTAAAACAATTTAACGGGAAAGAAACTAACTTTCATTTAGTGTTGTTGTTTTACTGAATGTTCAGAATCGTATGTAATAAAAACAAAAGCATACAGCAGGGGGAGAATCACCTGTTGTTTGAACTTTCCACTGTGAAGTTATTGGCCACTAAATTACTGCATATTACACCCCAGAAAATCTCAATGTCAGTTTCAGTTTCAAGGGTACAAGTCAATGTAGAAACTGTCAGTATCAGTTTCAAGGGTACTAGGATTGTTGCCTTGCCTATTACATGATTTTCTTGCACACATAGCAGTCTAAAAAATATGTTGCTGTCGATAAAAATCAAATGGCAAAAATGATTAATCTCTGATGTATCATTGTCGTTCAATAGTGGATTATGCTTTTGAATCTATGTATAATCATGAAACTTGAGAAACTATATTAGAAAACAAACATCTCTTGATAATTGTTATAGACCAAAGAAGGAATGAACTTCAAAACTTACAAAAGAAGTTTGTTGATAACACCCATTTACATGTGTTTAAATTAAGCTATGAATGGTTATATAAGAAATACTTACATATTCAGGAGAGATGTACTCATTTGGACAGAAAGGGTACCAGCTAATTTATTATTCCCAAGAAACCGGATGCGCGCCTTGCCTCAGGATCCCTCGACTCGACTGTTTTGTGTTTGGTTTTGCACCAAACACTTGTGTTTTGCCTTGGAGGGGTAGAGAATGGCTTGTGGGCCATCCCCACACATCACCGGCCATGGCTTGAGCCCACCGGCTGTGTTTTGTTGCCACCGGCCAAATGTTTGGCCGGCCGGCCGGCACTATAGATGGCCGGCCGGCTATCTTTTTTTGGTCAATTGCATTTTTGGCAGGCCGACTACTGGGCATCTGCTTTTGCAGATATTTTCATGCAGCTGGCATACACTTTCACCCCCTCCATACACGTGTATGGAGGGATTGCCCTCTTGTTAGCTTCCTTTGGAAGCTTTACAAGACCATTTTGTCTACAAAAGAGAGGGTATTCTCTCTTGTTAAAGGGTTAGACAAGTTAGACATTATTTTCCAGAGCTTTGAGCTCTAGGGTTAGGGTTTGTATATATCCTATCTCTATATCTCTCTTTCTTGGTGTATTTGTGTGTGTTTTAGGCCTTAGTATTGCACACAAACACCCACTACTACACCATTCTCTTGGAACTGAGGTTCTAGAGGGTTGTTTTTGAAGTTTTGAAGCTGGTTTGGACCTAAGGAGACTACTGGTCCACCATTTGTGAAGAGGGTCTACAAGGGTAAGAAACTTGTCCCTTTTCTCCCATTTTTGCATAGCTTATTTACCTATCTTGCATCTGTTTTTGAGCTTAGTGTATAACATATAAAAGTTGTGTTTTTACTTTCTCTAAGTAGTTGCTTAAGGGTGTTTCAAGCTTTGGGGTTGTTTGACCCCTCTTAAGCCTTGAAAGGCTCCATTTTGTGCCATTTTGGTTGAGCTCCTGGACCATTGTGTTTGGACCTCCTCACCGCTGAAATCTTGAGGGATTTCAGAGGTGTGGATGATGCCTTGAGGTCCCAAGAAGGAGAGGGCCACCCCCTCTCCTTGTTGTCCTTGAAAAGGGCCATTTTTAGCCTCTTAAGGGAGCATATAGTTTGAGTATGCATTGACCATGCCTTGGCTGATTTTCAGGCTCATTATGTCATAACATAGCATTGTTGTATGTTGGTTTTGGTACACCATGCTTGTCTAGCATACATACCTTGTAATGCCATGATTTCCCTCAATACATGCATAGCATTCAGACTACCATGCTTTTGTGTTTTGCCCAAGCTTTGTGAAGCTTATATGCATATTTTGATGTGCTAAGGGACTGTTTTAAGTCATTTGAGTCATCCATGCCTTGCTTTGTATAGCTACCATGTAATCCCTCTTGTATGCCTTAAGCTTTGGCCCTTCTAGCATGCCATCCTTGCTTTGTTTCAGTGGTTTGGAACCACATGACATATCATTTTAGACCTCATGATGTGCCCATATGCTTGCATTTGATCCCCCTTCAATGTGTTTAAAGGTTGTTGCCTTATGCCCCTTGTTTAGGCCTTGGAGTATGCTTGCATTTTTAGACCACTTAGATGCCATCTAAGTACATCCTTAGCTTTGTTTAGGTCTGCATTAGACCTATTTTAAGTCCCTTTGGCCTTGTGAGGCTTGGTTGACCTAGCCTTGGTTTACCTCCCATTTGGCTTGCCTTAAGTCTTGGACCATTGTTGCATGTTTAGCTTGCCTTATTTACTTGGTTTGGCACCTTTATAACATGTTTTTCAGAGCTTTATGTGCATGCCATTAATCCAAGTATAGTATGGCAGGCATGGAAAAGATGATGCGTCAGCTCTAGGAAATTATGCAGGCCATGCAGTAGGATACTGCACAGCAAGCAGAAGTAGTGACCCAGCAGACAGAGTTAATTGCCAGGCTACAGCAACAAACCGGAGCATCTGCTTCACACCCACCTCCTCCCCCACCTAGAGTTCCAATACTCAGGGAGAACGCAAACATCCAGGAAAATACGGGCGTTCCAACGGGGCCAGCTCCACCCCCAATCCTACCCCAGCTATCTAAAGCGCCTACCAATCTAGTGGATTCACCGTTTGAATTTGAGGTGGATCCAACAGCACTAAAAGTGAGCAAGCTGGAAAAGCTCTTCAAGAAGGCTCAAGGCGTGAGACCCATTCCAGATATAGATGATGGATACACCGACTCAGGCGTGACTCTACCGGACTGGCTTAAGATGTCGCACATCGACCGTTTTGACGGGTCTGGAGATCCTATGGTGCACCTATGGCTGTTTTCGAATATCCTAAGGCCGATGAGCCTCTCCAGATTGCATAAGCTTTCCCTGTTTGGCCGAACCCTGTCGGGTGTAGCGGCTATTTGGTATGCAAAACTGGAGGACTCTGTTAAAACAAGTTGGGAGGAGATGGCTGAGGCCTTCATAGCTCAATACTTCTACAATACACAGATCGAGGTCACAACTTGTGATCTCGAGACCACTAGGTAAGAACCGAAGGAGAGCTTCTCCGATTTTGTGACCCGCTGGAGAGCTAAAGCCTCGATGATGACCATCAGGCCCGTTGACAAAGATTAGATTCGGATGGTTGTGCTCAACCTCCAGCCCAAGCTCATGCACTAGGTTAATAACTAGTAAATTGTGCAAATGTTCATGAACAATTGTTGTTTTCTTGTCTTTCCGTGCATATTTCTTCTACAAGGCATCTCGTGACATGGATACACGATTTGGGATTAACAAAGAGCAAAGCGATTCTACTACTAAAGCATGGCTTGAGAAGATGAAAACCCTATTTATCAGAAAGGGTTGTGGATTCTCCTCACGGAGTGTTATTACAGGTGATGCATATAAAGGAGTCAATGAGATTGGACTGCCTTTTGAAATTGCTCAACGGATAACATTTGAGGAGAGAGTTACTCAATATAACATGCAGTATCTGCAGAAGCTGGTTGATGAAAAGTTGTGTTTAACCTATGATCATTAAAATATTTATAAGACTACCTCATGCCACTTTCTGCTGTAACGTTTAGTGACGTCATACACTCCATCTTTTGCAAAAGCAATTACATAATTCAAATTCTTTTTCCACCTTCAAAGAAAAAAAACATTTGCAAACAATATAGATGAAAGTCAAAAAGTTGATTCAACTATGAAGCATCAGGATGAAAAAAACAATTCCAAAACTATATAGATTATGTGTAGGTGAAAGTACCCTTTCTCATATAGCAAAGGATTGTCGTATATTCCTTCACAGGGATCAAGATGCATCCATCTATGAAATTTGAACCCACCATAAGAATTTGTGGATGCACATATAGAACATAACAAATAGCAGCAGCTGCGTGAATAAAATATTTACCTTCCTAGAACAGGTGACATGCACTCTGTCCAAACATGATCTGTGAAATCCATGACCTGGAACAAATAGAAAGTGCGTCAATGAAAACATTTTTCTCTCAACCTCAGATTCTAATTTCTGGAAATTACATGAAGTTTAGTTTTTTTAATTTTTTTTAAATATCAACTAAATCTATTCTTGTAGAGAAACTTAAACGAACATTACCTGGTGAGATTTAATACTCAATTTTAACATAGAACCATTAATTTCCATAATGAATAAACAATATAAGAAAGCCATTCATTTCCTGAATTTCAAATATGAACTTTTGCCAATTTCACCAAATATTCAGATTTTTTAGCCAATTTCTTTCTATCTGAAATTTGACCAATTCAAATTCGATCAACCACTCTAAATTCGGCTTCCGTGAAACCTGAGTAAATTCAGGAAATTGTAAAACGATGTTCTCAAGCAATCAACTTAGCTATGATTTTCTCCATAGAATTACAACAATCTATTAAAAATTATAGTCAAAACAAGAAAATAGAGGCAACCTCTGAAAACTGTACAATAACATATTAAGAAAATAAGAGCAGATGGAAAAACTCCAAAATCTTAGAACTTCATTTTTGTAAAAATAATTTGGTAACTTCAGACAACATAGTGACCCAAATAATAAACTCACCACTTATAACTAAGGCACCACAAATTAACTAGCTCACAATTCAATCAACTCTATAAAATGAAAACAGAAGGGCCTAAATTACAAAGGTTAGTAACTCACAAGTATTCCTCCAAGATCCTCGGAAGAATATGCATGGACAAGTTTCCCTCTCTCTCTTTTCTTATACCTGGTGATTATTAAAGAAGGAAACAAAAATAAACAAGTAAATAAATTTCAAAAAAAAAAAAAAAAACGATCCAGCATTAATGTGGGAAACCATATTGACCTTCCTTGGGGCCGAGTAGACTTGACAACTGTATTAGTCTCTGTGGTGGCATCAGTATCAACATCTTGAACATCATCCTTTTCAACAGCTGCAAGATGCATAGAAAGAGAAACCACATCAAACTATCATGGTATTATTAAGTGCAACCTAAATTCATTTTCATCTTGATGTACCTTCATCCTTGATTTCTGCTGCTTGCTGCAAAAATAAAAAGAGAGATTTACAGACACAAAAACATAAGAACAATTTTTTTTTTTTTAAAGCTTATTAAATCTAATTCGAAGATAAATGTGAGAATTACCACTTTCAATCTCTTTAGAATGTTGTTAAACTGTGATGTATCAAAATTATTTTTGGGTTCATCTACACCAATACCTGTTGTAATTTTTAAACTGTCAAACTGCTCTATATGTCTTGATATGTTCTTATTCTTCTAATAAATGAAAAACTCATCCCACAACAAGTTTAACCTTATTAGCTCCTTTGATTCATAAGACAATTAAAAAAATAAAAATAAAAGAACTCTTTGTTCTAGGCAACAAAATAGAGGATGAATTTGATAAATAAACAAAAATCAGAGCAAAAAAAGAACCGGCAGTGTCCTGTTTGTCCTTAACCCTGGCATATCCTTTGATCCCTTTCTTCTCTTTCCCAAGCCCTTCACCTTCTTCCCATCCCTACAACACAATTCTATCTCCACACCATCAAAATTCATCGAACACACACATTACACATACATACAGATTCAAACTTGAGCTGAAGCAACTGTGTTCTGAAATTTCAATTTTTTTTTTTTTTTGGCAATTTTTTTTTAATTTTTTTTTGGTAATCTTATATTGGCTATATATATATATAGAGAGAGAGAGAGAGAAAGAGAGAGAGAAAGAGAACTAACCATGTAGGAACCCACATCGTCGCAGCCCTCCGCCCGCTGTCGCCTCCGCCCAATCGTCGCCCTCCGTCGCTCGTCGCATCTCTCAAAACAGTGCAGAGAGAGAGGAGACCGCGCAGCTCAACAAGCTCAAGAAGCCCTAGAAACTCAAAATGTACATATTCAACTCCACAGGACATCCAAATCAAACACCAGTTTCGAGCTAGAGAGAAACTACAGCATAGCATGTAAAAATGCAGTCAAACGAAAGGACAATTTGTGTAACAAACCGAGGAGAGAGAGAGAGAGAGAGAGAGAGAGAGAGAAAGTACCGATTAAAGTTTAGAAAAAAAAAAGTAGACTATTCACCGCCATCGGAGCTTGAAATGCGAGTAATCGAGGGGTCAGAGTTCAAACCTGAGCTTCTGGAAATCACTGAATCTCTGAATCTTTGCAAATGAGATGGCGGAGCTTGCTACCTCGCCGCTGCAGCTTCGAAATCGCTTTGATGGAGCTTAGATACGAATCTTTGATGGAGTTTCGAAATCGCTTTGATGGAGCTTTGATCTGAATCTTCGATGGAGCTTAGAGAGGGTTGAGAGAGAGAGGGAGAGATGTGTGCGACCTGCAAAAGAAATATGATTTGGCCAAATTTAGTTTTCTTATACTACAAAAGGAAAAAAAAAAAGAAAAAAAACACAACAAAAGCAAATAAAACAACATATTCAATAATTTCTGTTTTCTAAAATAGGATCGTTGAAAATGGTAGAAAAATTCTGGGTAAAATTAGAATTTTTTTTCAAGTTTGGTTTATTTTTTAGGTGGGTCCCGAGCATCTTTTTACTCGGATCAAAGTGGTAACGCGTTCTATGTCGCGTTGTGATTCACGTGGTATATTTGGTTGCTCAAAATCATTACCGAGTGAATGGGAAATTGAAGCCAAAGTGTGCTCCATGGAAATGGAGTTTTGGTGGAAATTCCTTAAGGTTGTAAATTGGCTTGTCCCACATTGATTTGGTGGGAAGTTTTGAAAGGGTTTATAAGGCTTAGGGTGAGATACTTGGGGTGTGCCTCAAGGGGTACCCAAGTGTTTTAGAGGGAGATGTTATGGGCAAAATGGGCTAGACCCATTGGACCCAAAAATCACCACGTGCCGCTGTCCGGCTGGGCTTGGGCGCGGGTGCGGGGTATGTGGTTGGGTTGGGCTTCTAATCTTTTTGGGCCAAAAACATTTGAATTTAATTTTATTTTTTATTAAAATAAAATCCAGAATTCGAATTAAACTGGTTTGGATTTTTTATTCATTCAAACAGGGCCCTTCCTTTTCAAACAGAATTAAACTGGTTTGGAATTAGTGCTCACCCAAACAGGACCCTTCCCGTTTTTTGCTATCTGTTTGAATAATTAACAAATTCAAATCTGTTTGAATTCAAAACCAATAGGTTTCATACCTTTTCAATTCAAAACCAAGAGCCACATTTACATCTATAAATAGACTAGCCTCCCATTTGGATTTAACTCCAATTTTCGTACTCCATCCTCTGCAAATTATATTCTTCATCTTGTTGCATTTTATTTTCCAAAGAAAGAGTGCAAATACTTAGTGTGTTCGTAAGGCAAACAATTAGTAGTGCTGCTATTGTTTGTGGTAGATCATTTCATCCTGGGAGATAGACGTCCAAATTCTGAAAGCACCGTGGAAAGGACGAATCTGTCTTAAGGACACAGTGTTAAACACTTGACTTGATCAGAAAAGTTATTCAAATAAATTAACCAAGTAAGTTGTTTAATTTTATTCTGTTTTTATTTGTTTATTTAATCAGATTTTATTTTCGTTTTTGTAACAAAATAAAATTTGTGGTTTTATTTATTTATTTATTTATTATTTCGAGTTTGATTTTTGTAATCAAACAAATTCTCTTTATTTCTTTATATTCTTGTTGTTGTTGTTTTGTACACAACATAATTTAACTTAATTAAATACAGTGAAGATTGTCCAACAATCTTAAGACAGATTCCTTTTTTGGTATCTTCATTGTATTTAATTTTCTGTGTTTTCAAAGTAATATTCTGGTTGGAAAAATAAATAGTGATTTATGATATTTGACAGATAGTAGTAAAATACTGTCTCTTTTCTTTGACAACTAGTTGTAATATACTGGTGTCATTAACAATTGCAGAATATTAATTGGTATTACAGAAAATTATTGTGATATTTTATTTTTCTAAGTTCTCTACAAGGAAAATAAAATTATTTTGTTGTTATAATTTATTTTCTGGTTTTAGTAACTAGAAAATTAATTTGTGTTTTAATTTTTTCTGATTTTTGTAATCAGAGATTATGGCTACTACAACTGAAACTGCATCTGGCAGTGGTACTCCTATTGTTACACCTACATCAGTCCCTATCCATAACTATGTTCATGTACCAATCAATCATGGAGAAAAATTGAAAAAATTTAACGGTACCGAGTTTAAAAGATGGCAGCAGAAGATGCTGTTCTATCTTACGACTCTTAATTTGGCCCGGTTTCTCCATGAAGAGGCTCCAGCACTTAAAGAGGATGAAAGTGATCGGCAAGTTGTTGCCGCTGTAGATGCTTGGAAACATTCAAATTTCCTGTGCAGAAACTACATCCTGAATGGCTTTGACAATATGCTGTATAATGTATACAGTCCTCTGAAAATAGCAAAAGAATTGTGGGATTCTTTGGAGAAGAAATACAAGACAGAAGATGCCGGCACGAAGAAATTTGTCGTCGGTAAATTTCTGGACTTTGTTATGGTAGACTCCCAAACGGTAATATCTCAAGTTCAAAGTTTTCAAATAATTTTGCATGATATTCATTCAAAAGGTATGCCTCTTAGTGAGTCATTCCAAGTCGCTTCTTTAGTGGAAAAGTTACCACCGGCTTGGAAAGATTTCAAAAATTATTTAAAACATAAACGCAAAGAGATGACTATGGATGAATTGATTGTAAGATTAAAAATTGAAGAAGATAACCGAAAGGCTGAAAAGAGGAATGGGAAAAATCCCATTGAGTCCAAGGCAAATGTGGTTGAACAAGTTCATAAACCACATAACAAAAAGAGAAAGTTTACTGAAGATGGTCCTAAACAAGGCGATAGTAGCAAGAAGTTCAAAGGAAAATGCTATAACTGTGGCAAAACCGGACATCGAGCTTCTGACTGCCGCCGCCCTAAAAAGAATCATGGAAGTACAAGTAAGAAGACCACCAATCAGGCCAATGTAACAGAATTGGATTACATCTCTGACGGAGTGAATGACATCAACCTCTCTGCTGTGGTGTCTGAGGCTAACTTGGTTGGAAATCCCAAAGAGTGGTGGGTTGACACTGGAGCAACTCGTCACATATGATTGCTCATCCAAACAGAGCCCTTCCCGTTTTTATCTGTTTGAATAAACAGATTCAAATCTGTTTAAATTTGAAACTAACAGGTTTCATACCTG